TTTTAAACTTTTTTTTTTTTTTTTTTTTTTTTTTTGCCAGCAGACATGGTATTATGAGAGTGGGCTAGGTAGAGGTCACAGCAGGAAAGCACTTTCTTACAGTTTCTGGAGAGCCTGTACTTCTTTTCCCCTCTGATGCTCAGGCTGTCAACTTTCTCTACCCTAGCAGTTCATAAGTAGAGGCAATTTTGCTGCCAGAGTATACTAGTAATACCTGGAGCTATCTTTCATTATTACAACTGGTAAGAAGTAGTAGCACAGGATGATTAGTGATCAAGGATGCTGCTAAACATCCTACTGTACACAGAACATCTCCCAACAACAAATGAGGATCTAGCCCTAAATGCCAATAATGCCAAGGATACTGCTCTAGTCCTGGGTTCCTCCAAAGCACAGCCATCTATCTGCGTGCTTTCTTTATTCAGCTCTCAACTCAGGCAGCAGAGCAGGATAGCCCAAAGCCCCAGACCAGGTGGTCTCTCTCCATTCTCTACCCTCAGCTCTCATCCACGTGCTAAAAGCCTTGTTAGCCAGGAGCCCGACCTTTGTCCCATTCAGCAGCCTGGAACTAACCTTCCCAACCCTCACATAATAATGTTCTAGGTGGCTCGCATGGGGGGGCTCCTCTCTAAATTGCTATTTCAGCAGTACTCAGTGTGGCACTCCAGCCCCCTTTGTACTCAACTACCAGCTTCAACTCACCTGCATCCCAAGGCTTTCCTAACAGACACCAGGGCTTGGACCAGCAGCAGCATCCTGCATCCTCTGCACACATTCATAAGTCTGTGGCCAGTGACTGGGCATCAGTTTTATCTGAAGCATCCGAGCACCTATCTCTGCCTATACTGGGCTGCAATTACACCTTCAAAGAAGTTGAGCTTTCATTTCAATTTTATCCTTCACTGGGTACTTTCCCTCAGCCCTAGTGTACATTTTACAGTTCTCCTTATACAGTAACTTTATAGCTTTTCTGCTATTATAGCTTAATTACTTTTATTAAACTAATCATTTAAATTATGTGGCTTTCATCTTCTGATTTGATACAGAATGATGTACCCCTCAGGCATCTATGCAAAACTTTTTCTACAAATTGTTTCAACCTTAGACCCAGTTAAATTCTACTTGTTTCATATCAAGTGAAGCACATCAAGTGAAGCCAAAGCACCTGTCTTTATCTTAAGTCAGCAGCGGTAAAAGGAACCAGCTTATCTACACCTGGTAAAACCTGTTACTCATGTCACCCTGTCAAGACATTTACAGCAAGCACCACCTTGCTTCTCCCCATTGGGAACATCTTAAGGTAAATGCAATGGTGGTTAGGATGCAGTGAAATAGGAAACTACATCTTGATGATGACAGTGATAACAGCCTTTGGGAAGCAATCTGGCAGCATGAGTTAATATCCATAAAAGGCATGTACTTTGATTTGATTATTTTGAGGAACTAATTAAAAAGGTCCAATATATTTTTGCAAGACTAACACAAGGAATGCTATTTATAACACTTGAAAAACTAAAGAACCTAAATCATCAATAGAGAAATGGTTGAACAAATTATGACAAAACATTATATTCATGCTAAAAAACTACATAATGACTCCATATGGGGGAA